CAGCTCTACTATAGTATAGTACAGCTATGCTATATAGTATAGTACAGTAGTATAGTATAACTATACAATAGTGGAGTTCTATAAAATATAACATAGCCAATAGTTCTATAAAATATAATATAGCCAACATATATAGCATCGTATAGTTTAGCATAGTATAGTACCAGTATGACTATACTATATAGTATAGTACAGCTATACTATATAGTATAGTACAGCTCTACTATAGTATAGTACAGCCATGCTATATAGTATAGTACAGTAGTATAGTATAACTATACAATAGTGGAGTTCTATAAAATATAGTATAGCCAATAGTTCTATAAAATATAATATAGCCAACATATATAGCATCGTACAGTTTAGCATAGTACAGTACCAGTATGACTATACTATCTAGTATAGTACAGCTAAACTATATAGTATAGTGCAGCTCTACTATAGTATAGTACAGCTATGCTATATAGTATAGTACAGTAGTTTAGTATAACTATACAAGAGTGGAGTTCTATAAAATATAGTATAGCCAATAGTTCTATAAAATATAATATAGCCAACATATATGGCATCGTATAGTTTAGCATAGTACAGTACCAGTATGACTATACTGTATAGTATAGTACAGCTATACTATATAGTATAGTACAGCTCTACTATAGCATAGTACAGCTATGCTATATAGTATAGTACAGTAGTATAGTATAACTATACTATGTCGATTGAATAATATAGTAGAGTGTAGTTTAGTATATAGCATCGTTATGCTATATAGTAACATTGACACCCGTTTTGGGATGAGACCCGGAGGCCGGTCTCCTCAGCGTCGAGGAGGACCCGGAGGTCGTAGCCCCAAGAGCCGCGAGGTGGAGGCTCCTGGGAGGACTTTTTCTTGGGTTCTTATTTAGGGTACTTTTTTCGGGTTTAGGGTTTGGGGTTTAGGGTTTCCTTGACGACTTTTTCTGGGGTTCTTGTTAAGGAAAATTAACATTTAAGTTACCATAACAGGGATCTTTAGTTTAAGTTACCATAATAGGGATCTTTAGTTTAAGTTGACATAACAGGGATCTGTAGTTCAAGTTGCCATATCAGGGATCTTTAATCTAGGTTGCCATAATAGAGATCTATAGTAAAGAACATGGTTTCCTTATTATCGTAACTTTCTTGTTAAATCCCTTAACAAGAGCCCAGCTTTGCGGGGATTCAACTCATTGACCTCTTGTAACGGTCCAGAACCACAGGACCTAGACACCCACGGCTTTTTCGACAGTTCTGGCAAAAGCTGACAAATAAAGACAAAAATGACAACAAACGTCAAGAGCACGCAAAAACAGACAATAATAGACACATCCGGACAAATAGAGACAAATCCAGACAGATAAAGATGAATACACGCAACTATTTTTTTGAATATTTGTGTTTATGAAATGTGTACAAATGTTTAGAAGTTGTTACAATACTTTTAAAACCTTGGAATTATACAAAGAAAGAACAAACATTGCCAACCGCGAACAAGTACTGAAATTGACTAAAAGCATCACGCCACTAATTATACTTACAGGTTACATTACATTGGATGATGACTTTCATGTCACATTACATCGGATAATGACTTGCATTCAATGAATCGCTTGATCTCGCTGGCCTCGGCGATGTTGTAGAACAGCAGGAAGCCAGCACCGTGTTTGAATCATTCGCAAAAAAAGAGCAAGATAGACATTATAGCGAATAATACGAAATAGAAGCAAATAAAGTCAATCACAAACAAACACGGACAACGTTCGCCGAGTAAGTACGTGACAAAATGAGGCTTTAGGCCTGAGATTACAAAGCCTTGAGAATCTAAACCCCGTGGTTCTGGACCGTCGCAACAGGTTACGGATGATTCCCTCTTTCTGTATGCGTATACATAAAACTATTTGCAGAAGTTTCTGCGATGTCTTCTGGTGGTCGAAATTTCGAACCCCTTCGGCTCTTGTTCGTGCTGAGCGTAGTCTCTTCGAAGAGGGCTCCGAAGGTCCGGAACTGCAGAAATCTGCAGGTGCCAATGCCAGCGTGGAGCAGTCCGGGTCGGGCTCACGGCGCTGGCACTCGCTCTGCTCGCCGTCGGCCTCCTTTGTGGGGGCAAGCTTCGCACACTTCGGGGTGACGCTCAGGAAGTCCAGGCCCTCTCTGAGGTTTTCGAGTTCTCGATGCCCAAAGGGGCTGGCGTGAATCTGGGCGGGTGGTTCGTGTTGGAGGATTGGTTCTTCTCCGGCTCGCATGGGAAGCTGGTGAGTTCAGAAACGCAGGGACAGGGCAGGTGCCTGCCTCCCCTGCTCCATCACGTCGAGGAGGCCTGGCCCTCCGAGGGGGTGCTACTTAGAAGTCGAGCTTGCAAGCTTTATGAGCTCGTTTCGGGGCTGTTATTTATACCATGGACAAGTTTTCGTCATGGCGTCGGATCTGGGCACCCGAGGCTAGCATCCCGACTGAACGCCAGCTTCGGAAGCAAGGAGACAGCGAGGATTTTCAAGGCCCATCGCGAGGAGTTCTTTACGAAGGATGAGCTTCAGGAGATCATCCGAAGTGGGATCGACACCATTCGCTTACCAATAACCTGGGCGGCCTTTGCCGATGCTCTGGCGCCGCTCAGCCAGAGCGTATATGCGGCACACAACCCAGACACGGAAACTCAGCAGATTTTGGGTGGTGGTTGTAGCAGCAGCAGTATAGCAGTATAGTGTTAGGGAGAGTTGAGAGTTTGTCTGCGAGTTCCGTGTGGCTATGGAGCCTCGGAAGCTCCAGCCGAGGAGACGGCCTTGGTGCCGGACCCCTTCTACCCGGACTCTGCGGCCTTTGCCACGATTCCCCGCGCCGACCTAGCTGCCTTTTTGAGGCACCGCGCTTAGTATATCTCTTGGTGCTCGGTAACGTGGTCATGCGCCCGTTGCGTGCTTCTGGGAAGGAACTTTTGCTGCATGCGAGCCGAGGCATGCGGCCCAAAACGGCGTGTCCGTGATTTTGGACATCCACTCCTTCCCGGGAGGCTCCCAGCAAGGCACCTACAACGGGATCTGGCCGAACCGACCAGTCTTCTGGACGGAACGCTCGAAGATCGGCCCTTCCATCGAGCTCACAGAGGTGGGGGATTTTCCGAGACTTCTCACGCTCCCTTTAAAGTTCAGGGTGCCATGCCTTCGGCTCTTTTTTGTTTTGTGATGCCCTTGCTGTGTGAGCGTCCCAGGTGGGGCGCTGGATTGTGAAGGCCCTGCTTCAGTGGTCTGAAAGCTTGGATCCTGAAGCCAAGATGGGAATCAAAGGCCTGACGCTGATGAATCTTGGTAGCTGAGTGGGTACACTTTACACTTGATGGGATAACATGATCTTTTGATTAGCCAGCAAGCGTACACTTGTTTGGGCTTATGAACTCAGCAGCTAAGGAATGAGCCGGCCCATAGCAACGCATGGACCCACTTTGCCAAGGCAGGGTTATCCTTTTTGAAAGAGGTTTCCTGAGAAAGACGGGATGGTCGGGAAAGAGGGCCCTCTTTGTTCTTAAAGGGCCGACCAGAGTCGACCACCCTGTGCCAAGGAGGAGGACGTTCTGAGATGGCTGTCTGAGGTCGCAGATGACTTCCGCAAGTCGCTGCTTCCCACCCAGGGGATGAAGCTGTACGTGAACCTGATGCTGAGACGTCTCTTCAGTTCCGTTTTTTTTTGCTGTCGTGGTTCCGGCCCTGTTGGAAGCGCTTGAAGTCAGATGCTCAAAACGCTTGTGCCGAGGATTGAGACAGCTTTCTCGCAGTTCGAGCACTCAGCAGTTCCATGGTTCCTGAAGACGTTCTCACAAGAAGAGCGAGAGACGTGGGCGATTGCAGACGTCCATTGGTACGTGGCGTGGAGTAATGGCGTCTGTGATGGTCGCACGGCTGCCCGACTGCACACACTTTCCTGTCCTCAACCTGATTGTGCTTGACCTCTGCTACTGCTTTCCCAGGCACCCTCCCCCATACCCTGCCATACCCTGTATGAATAGATAGGTAGGTAGATAGATAGATAGACAGATAAATAGGTAGATAGATAAATAGGTAGGTAGATAGGTCGGTAGATAGATAGATAGGTAGTTAGATAAGTAGATAGATACATAGCTAGACTGGTTTCGAGGTGGAAGGCGGCGCCTACAGCTGCTCTTCGCCGCTCTCAGAGGTGCGAGGGAAGCTCAGCAGCTGTGCTCACGGCGCCTCGGCGAGGCTCCGGAGCCTCTTTGGCAAAGGAGCCCTGCGAGGGTTTGGGGTTTAGGGGTTTAGGGCTTAGGGTTCAGGGTTTGGGGCTTAGGGTTTAGGGTTTAGGGTTTGTTTAGGTTTAGGGTTTAGGGTTTAGGGTTTATTTAGGGTTTATTTAGGGTTTAGGTTTTAGGGTTTATTTAGGGTTTAGGCTTTAGGGTTTAGGGCAAGTGTAGCCTAGCTGACTTTTTGCTACTGTATTACGTACGGTTCGTTGATCCTTATATGCACCGACATAAGTACCTGCGTACATACGTATATACCAACTTGCATGCAAGTCTTGGTATATACCATCACCTGTTTCATGGAGCATGCGCGACTTCTTGGCAGGGTAACACTGCTTTTCCCTGCAGGATTGGTGGCAGTCACCGAGTTTTCGGCAGGAACGTTTCATCAGGCCAGGTATGCCTGCAGCGACTCCCAGATCTTGCGGGCCTTCCTCGAGGAGCCACGGGGTTCAGTGCTTAGGGCTTTGGGTTCAGGGTTTTGCATTTAGGGATTAGGGTTCTGGGTTGAGGCTTTCGGGTTTAGGGTTAAGGGATTAGGGTTCAGGGTTGAGTTTAGGGGTTCGGGGCCAAGCCACCAACAGCCGGAGGAGCAGATCACCGCGTTCCGGTCGGCAGCTGAGCTTAGGGTTCAGAGGCAAGGGGCACGGGTTAAGAGTAGATGTGGGGTTTGTTGTCATGTCCTTCCATCATAGCAGCACTGCAATCATACTATCATGGCTATATCAACTGTGGGCCCCAAGATCTTGACGAGCGTTCCACTGCAAAGGATCATTCATGTCCCGTTCTGGCGATGTGTCGTCTCCTCGAACATGCCAAGACTAAACGGACCGTCACTGCAGCTGGAGTTTGGCTTGTCTTTCGAACTCCTGTGTCGGCGGGTTTGCTCGCAGAAACCTTAAAATTCGGACTAGTGCCACAGTAATGAAAAATGCAAATTAAGAATGAACATAAGAATAACAACGATTAGCAAACACAAGACTATTCGTATTATAGCCGTTCTTCTTCTTCTTCTTACTACTACTACTACTACTATTATTATTATTCTCATTATCGTTACTGTTGCTGTTGCTATAATGATAAGATAATAACAATGGCTCTTATTATAGCATACAGTTGCCACTTGAACAGCAAACGGCTTTCAAGAAATATAGTTGACCAGGCATCGAGTGAGCAACACTTGGCCTGCCGCACTTGTGAAAAGTTGCCACTGCTTTGCATGACGTTGTTTCATTCAACCGCATGCTTCCTAGATGTGCTGTTCGCACGTACAGAATATTCCCCAATTCGCAGCAAGCGGCTGATGAGGACCTTTTCCTGAACGAGGCCTGTTGACAGTGCATGACATGCATTGCACGCATCGCAGCCGCCGAAATATACCCATGTCTAAATATGTCGCAAGCCCGCAACAGAAGCCTCGAGAATCTGATCCGAGTTGAAGCCATCTGCTCTTCTTCGTCGGCATGCGATAAAACCTTTGGCTTAAGCGTCTTTAAATTGCACGGTCTGGTAGGGCGGCTCGCTTCGACTAAAATGCACGCATCGGAGGAGAGGTACCGCCACTCAGGGACGACACCTCATCAGGAGAACTCGAACAGCACCAAAGCAGGAGACATCTGTTTCGATTGCACGAACATGCCACTCACGTGTCAGGCTGTCATATGCATCGCACACAGTGTCACGGTGCGCAGAACTCTCACGCTGACTTCACTTCATTCACAAACTCACCAACACACTCAGGCAGCTATCCCGGGTCGGGTTACTGCTGTGCGTCAACCTTGCTGTCTTGCAAGGAGAGTCCACCCTTAGACCCTGAAGCTTCTGCCTTTAACCCCGACAAGGTCAGACGACATCGAGCCGTTCTTCTGGACCTGGAAGATGCCATTTGGCCCCAACTTCGAGGCCACACGAAGCTTGCCACATCCTTGAATAGGTCCTCTTAACTTTCGGATTCAGGGTGGGGGTTTTGATATGGTACATGTCGGATTTAGAGGGGTTTGTATGCTGCCCAATACAAACCTCAAGGACAAGGGAGCATAAATTCGCCTCACGAAGCCCGATGACGACCTCGCGTCCAAAACTGTAGCCACAAGCCCCGAAAACCAGTTCGCTAAGCAGGCCCAGACCACCCAAAAGCTTGCTGTGGATTCGACCCAAGACATCCCCCATACCACCAGAAGCCCTACACTCCTCTCCCTTACAATTTAAACCCCGAAGATACCCAAACCCCGAAACCCTAGGCTTGAAAATCCCAGAGCTACCCTGACACCCAAACCCATAGGCCACTAAACTCAGAACCAGCTTTAAACCCCTCAACCTCCAAGCAGTATCAAACAGTCTAAACCCTGAACCCTAAAACCCTTATCCTGAAGCGCAAAGAGGCCGGCTGGAGCTTGAAGTACCTTCTGGGTCTCGAGAAGGAGACTAAGCTGCCTCTGAGGGTTTCCGGGGTGTAGGCTTCCTGTCAGGCTCCTTGAAGGACTCCTTTAAAGGGCTTCTTTAAGTCTTGAGGGGTCCGTTGGGCTTATTACTTCGGGGATACTGTAAAGATTAGTACGAGGGTTTCGGGCTTGGCGTTTGCTTGGGTTCAGGGTCTAGGGTTCGGGATTGGAGGTCTGGGCTCTAGGGTTTTGTGTATGCAGGTTTGCAGAGTTTGGGTTTGGAGGTTTAGGAAGTTGGAGGTTTAAGGTTTGTTTTTTTTTGGTTTAGGTTTTCGGCTGGGGAGTTGAGTCACTACTTGTAAGCTTTGTGGACATATAGTGCAAGTCGAGGCGATATCGGAGCATTGTGGAAGTTGCTCTTAAGTTTCTTACATTTTGTTGATCTTCAATGCTGAGACTTTTGCTTGCAAACATTTTCTCCAGTCCATCCGAGGATCCCGATCGTGCCCTGGGATGTTCCGATCTGGGAACAGTCCCTGTGAACGAGTCCCTCGTACATTTTTGATGACGCAGGGCTGACAGGCGAGACGCTTTGGTTTTCCTCTCAGCCACCCGTTTTGAAAATCAAGGTGCTCAGAATACAGAGGTTGCCCGGCTCATTTTCCAGGGTCTGTCGGGCCCCTCTTTGAGCGCTGCATGCGGTGAGCCCAACGGGATTTCATGCATACATGAAGGCATCCGACCGAGCTTCCACCGCCGGTGTCAGCACCATGAAGAATTTTGTTAAGGCGCAAGTCCTCTGTAATTGTAGATTGGGCCGCGTGGCCCACGGAAGCTTATGAAAGTGTTTCTTCACGGATGTCGGCACCATTGCTGGGCACACAAGTGTACAGGCTGCCCAGTCGTCGTCATGGACTTGAGTGTCCATGTAGGTATCATACTTTAAGCATTGTCTAGAAGTCTAATAAGTCTTCCCTGCCTTTTTGAACACGTCTGGCATGCCAGGAAACCTTGGCAAAGGGGAGCTCATTCCCGGGGCGCAAGACCTTTGAAGTGGGCCTTTGAACGCCCGCGCGTCCCATGCTTGCAGAGACGAGGTCACTGCTGGGCTGAAAGGCAGCCTGGCGAGATCGAGACTTGAAGGAGGCTCGTCCGAGACGGCACCAAAAATCAAGACTTGCTGACGTCCCACACGTGCATGTGTGTCAGGCACCCAGGAAAGGCTACAGGTAGACTGGTCATGTGTGGAAATTCATGGCAACCGAGGGAAGGGAGCGGCCATGATTATGGGTACTTCTTGCTGCAAGTGCAGACTGCATCAGCCATGCACGACATGGCCACTCAGGTCAGGCAGATCTGAGCCAGCCGCGCTGAGCTTCCTAACACCGGGAGAAAAGCGGATTCCTGCTTCAGAGAGCCAAGCCGCGTGATATCAAATGAGTCGTAGCATAGTATAGTATATAGTACAGTAGCTATATTTATTCTAACCTAATATGGTTTAGTATACTTTGGTCTTGTCTGGTGTAGTTGGGTTTTTGTGAGCAGGCGGCTGCGCGGCCTGGAGCTGGGGTGCGGGACCGGAGTGGCAGGCTGAACTTATATTGTATATTCAATATGCTGCATTACCACTACATACTACATATGGTGTGTGTGTATATATATATATGTATGGGTAGCAATGGGATTTGAGATATATCGAGGTTTGAAACGCTGCGGCTGTGGGAAGAGCAGATGAAGTCCTTGCGCCCTGCAGGCCTCAGCTTCGCCCTCATGGGAAACGAGGCCCAAAGACTTGGCCCTTGTGTCATCATACATGACTACTACGACTACTACAACAACTACTACTACTACTACTACTGCTGCTCCACCACTACTACTAAGCTGAGCTCTGGGTTTCGCCAGGTTCTGCTCACAGACATCGGCGACCTCCAAGCTTCGCTGACCCAGGCCTGGGACGGGTTTTGGTTTCTTCAGCGGTTCAGGGTTTAGGCTTTTCGGATGTTTACGACTTTAGGGTTTGGGGGTTTGAGTTTTTCGGTTAAGGGTTTTGGGTCCAGGACTGTTGGATGCTGGAGTTTAGGGTTCTAGTATGACAGTGCTTGATGAAAGGGGTATAAAGTCGTGGTGGGCAGGCATACAGGTGCGAAAATGGGTTTGCACGCCTTAGCCCTAAACTCAGCACCCTCTAAGCCACCCATCACTGTAGTCAATTAGACGTGGCCTGCGCTCAGGGGAACATCACGCAGAACCAGGCCTCCCTCTCCGCCGCCGGTGGAGCAGCAAGTTATGGCAGCCTGGACTGGAGAAGGCCTTGCAGGGTGGGGGTTGCGGGGCTTTTGGGGTTTTGGGCTGAGGGGTTCTGAGGGTGGGAAGGCGGTAAGTGGTAATGCATGCGTACGTATGTGTGTCGGATGTCATCGCCGTTAACATATACCGAAACTCCATGATCCGTGGAAGTTTCCACATGTGGACTGCTCAGAAGCGATCAGGGACTGACACCTGTCGCACGATGCCAACGCGCAGGCTGCCCGAGCGTGGCCAGTACGGCTACTTCGACTTGGTCTTTGCTGGAGACGTTATTTGGTGCGAGCCCCGACCTCCGCTGTCACGCTGCTTTCAGCTAAATAACTACCAAAGTCATTCCTCAGGGCTTAGGGCTTAGGATTTTAAGTCTACCATATTAAAGGAGCTCAAGACTCTATTCTAACTCTTACGGCCCCCACATCACTTAGACCATGGGTTATCTTGCATACTAGCTGCTTTGGAGCCCAGTAGTGGAGCCCTGAGGCATGAGACCTTGGTGGAGCCCTTTCTGAAGGCCCGGCCGTTCGTAGAGCCGAGGGCTTTCCGGCAAAAGAGGATCCGCGCGAGTCTAACTCCGCTTGAGGGGGAGTCTGGTGCTTTTGATGGAGTAGAGGCTTCAGGAGGCCGAGTAATCTTGAGGGGCTGAGAGATTGCAGGGTTTTTAAGGATCCGAAGCCCCCCCTAAACCCCAAAACCCTAATCCCCTAAACCNNCTAAACCCTAAACCCCCAAACACGCCAGGACCCTTCCTTTTTCCGCGGAGAGGGGAGGGGAGAGAGAGCTCTGCGGCCCAGGCCGTGGCATGGGCCGCATCGGGCCCAGGAGTTGGTGAGGTGATCCTCAGCCACAAGGTGGGGGTTTTAGGGTTTAGGGTTT